GAATCTCTTTAGTGGATATACTAATTTTTATGGTTTCATATATTTTATATAAGCTCTGGTGTGCATCTCATTTATGACACCAGAACAGCACAACCACCTCATGAAATATGAAGGGAGATGTCCTTCAGGACAGGTGCTTGGGGTGCATGTCAAACCTGCAGCATGCTGCTGTGGACAATGTGCTAGTACCTCAAATTCCATTACTCACATCTGGCAAGACACCTACTGGAGTTGTTTTAAAAATAGTTCCCTAATCATGCTAAAGTCACTGAACTTGAAGACTCCTACCTTCAGGATCCCTCTACAAACATTTCTTAACACACTTTCGCTGATACTTTCACTGATACATTCCCTCAATTCTGCATCCAGATGAGACAATAACTGCTATTATTTCAGAAAGAAATTAACACACCTCTTTGTCTAATGAGATTCTCATTTGCTTTCCACCTAGAAGGCTGCCAATACTTTGAAGCGTGTCTCACCATCTGCCTGTCAGCTAGGCTACTACTACATATCTATATTTATGCCTCAGTCCAGAAAGGGAGGTTTGACTGTAGTTCATTACAACACGTGAAAGCCACTGAAATTTGCTTGGACCCCTTAGTACTGAGAATTATTCATGTCACACAAGGGTGGGAAATAAGCTGTTGTGTCTCCTGCTCAGAGATACTTCTCCTTTAACTGTTTCAGAATTACATATTCCTGGGATTCCCAAAGAGTAAAGAGGATTGGAAATAACATTTTAAGCAACCAAAAGTCGAAATTCAGAAGGATTTTCTGTAAATGGAACAAGAGAGTTTTTCTTCTTTTGATTTCTTTTCTTTAAAACACCATGTTTACATATTACAAAAGGGATACAAAAACTGAAGCCAAGACAAAATTTTAAGATTCAGTGCAAAGAATAGGTCTACTACCCACAGACTACTAACTCTTCTAGTAGCACGGATATTTCTAAGAGATTCAGAGCCACAGCATAATAGACAATAATCAACACATATAGAGTCAAGCTCAACATTTATCAAATTGCATCTGAAAGCTACAGAAATATCTAAGGATCATGAAGGAAAAAAAAAAAAAAAATACCTGTAATGTAGTTTTGCCATGAAAGCCTGGACAACATTCAATGGTTGGATCTCTCTCTTACATTGTCATTAGACAAGGTGAAAACTATATGTTTTTTCCTTAGGAAGTATCTGGCCATTGAGAAGAACTTACTGAAAGCAATTCCGCTGCAGATTACAATGGTCCTCTACACAAGATTTGCTCTTCTTGACAGTCTTTTACACTTGCATGCCAATTTTATCTCTGAAGATGAATGAAGCATTTTGAACCATTCCTCATTCAAAGTACTCCTGTCTAAGCAATCATATCTAAAACTCAACAAGGAAGGGGATACCTTACTATGTTACACTCTACAGGCAAAATAAGGAAGTTCTAGAATTTAATCTGATGCTGTGGAAATCCAAGCATGAAGAAAGGAATTAGGAAAATTCCCCTTCCAAAATGGGAAGAATTTTGTGATTAAGCAGAATTAATTCAACAGACTCTCCTTTTGTCTAAAACCATCAATTTTCATGCATTTTAAAAATATTTCTCATATCCAAAGGATATATGGCCAGACTAAAGGATCTGAAATTAAGAATACTGAGCTCTATCATCATAAGTAATGAGTAGTGTTGGAAACGCCTACTAACCAGGCTCTAAACTTGCTTTGCTGTTCCTTACCAGCAAAGCAGATGATAACATAAAAACAGAAAAACAGCAAGAAATATTTTTTAAAACAGTATTCTGATTAAAAAAAGAAGATGAGTGCACCTTGCAGCATTATCAGCTGTTATTTAAACTTCCCCTACTTGGTACAAACAACAGAGACCTTCAAGATTCAAACAGCAGGTGGTTTGTCTGTACATCCTCATGTGTGTTTGTGCCATACAACTCAGGCAAATGCTCTGATGAACTTACTGGTCTACCAAATCAGCTACTCAAATGCCTCTTAAATTTGCAACATACCCCTATGAATATTCAGAATAATGTTCTTCTCTTTACAGTAGGCCTTGAGTACTATGGAACTGGTTACCAGATATTAAAGGCTTTGCTTAGCCCTTCAGGAGGTTTCTGCATAGATTTAAGCATCCTCAGTATCAACAAATGATAGCAAACAAACTATGAGAGCCTGATAGTCATTTTTGGATTGTCTCTTAGAGATGGTGACATAAGTGGCATCCTGTTCAGACACTGCTGAAGTCCATGAATCAGAGGCACCGCTCAAAGAAGGAAGTCAGACCTTCCAACAGATCTCAGCTTGTAAGAACAACTGTGCATAAGATGAAAGGGATTATCAATTTAGAGATGCAAACAGGAAAAAAGCTTCCAATTTATCACGGTAAGTTTCAGGAATGGTAATGTGAAATTGCATTAAATTAGTTATGTGATGTCAGATTAATCCTTAGATGATCACAGGGGCAGGTTAAAATAGTATATGTATTTTTGCTGATTAAGGTAATAAGAAAGACCCAAATGTGACTTATTCCAGAGGTTAAAATCATCCAGCTTCATCACAATAAGCAACATACATATCCATAATTGTGAAAAGACACCACATAAATAAAGTAGAATAGATATTTAAGGGTTGTCACCTCCACCTCCTCTTCCTCACAGAATCACAGAATGGCTGAGGTGGGAAGGGATCTCCTGAGATCACCTAGTCCAACGCCCTGCTCAAGCAGGTTCACATAGAAGGTGGCCAGGACCATGCCCACCTGGATTTTGAGTATCTTCACAGAGACTCCACAATTACTTTGGGCTACCTATTTCAGTGCTTGACTAGTCCCACTGTAAAAAATTATTTTCTTGTGTTCTGATGGAATTTCACATTGCCTCTTGTCCTGTCACTGGGCATTACTGAGAAGAGTCTCGCTCCCTCTTCTTCATTCCATCCCATTAGCTATTTATATACATTGCTAAGCTCACCCTGAGCCTTCTCTTCTCCAGGTCAAACAGTGTCAACTTTCTAAGCCTCTCCTCATATGAAAGGTGCTCAAGTCCCTTAATTCTCTTCATAGCCCTTTGCTGAACTCATTCCAGAAAGTCAATGTCTTTCTTGTACCAGGAAGCCCAGACCTGGAAAAAGCACTCCACATGTGGCCTCACCAGTGCCATGTAGAGAAGATCTTTACGCAACAGAAGTAATAATCGAGGAAAGACAGGATCTGAGGAGTCAACTCAATGATTAATTGAAACTCCAAAATGGAATATTTTATTTTATTATGACACCACAACATAGAATGATGATACAGTAACTCCAAATGTAAGTTCTTTCACTGCACTGAATTAATCTAAATTCACTCATAGCTAGAATCATCACGATCCATGCCAGGAACTAAATATATTTCATCTGTTTCCATAAAAATGTTCTGCAAAAATCTAGATTACAACAAAGTTACAATTCCAGAGTCATCAACTCCAAATTACTTAGTATATCATACAATATCTCTACACTACTAGTCTTCACAGAGTTTAGGGAACAAGAAATATATATAACTGCTCAAGATGAAAAATAAAGATAGACACAAAGATGGGGTGAATTAATGCACCTCTACAAAATTCAATGCAGTTTCACCTGGTTTTGATACTTAAAGACACCCTTTCCATATAAATATATAGTTGCACTCCAACTATATTTCTCAGAGATCACCATGGAGATATGCAATGGGAGTTAACATGATCATCATCTCTATAAAATAAATTCCACATGGAGTAAAAAAGGATATAAGATACCTCTTCCCCAAAAGGATCAGTCTGAATTTTTATGTACTGTTTCTCTCTGAAAGATCCAGGCTCAACTAAAGCAGATCAGGAACCATTTTTGACCAGTTTAAAATAATCCTTCTAAAAAAAAAAGTTATGACCATTGATAGAACAGACCTGAAAATCTGCAGGAAAGCAAACTTAATTGCTATCATATGTTCATCTCTACTAATGTGTTATCCTCTGGCATAAGAGAAGTAATTCTCCTTGTCCCCTCCAAAATCTATACTGTATGTTCCACACATCCATTTCATTATTGTGCACAGCACTAAGCCTGGAATAATTAAAATGCAGACACTTTAGTAATACTATTCATTTAACATAGCCATATTTAACTCTATAACGGTCCAACTTAATTTACCTCTTAAATAAGTCTTGAATTCTAAAGAGATATTGGAATATATCAATTAATTGGGACTCTCTGCCAGAAAATTACTTCACTGCTCAAACAGGCATTTTTCTGAAACTTTCTGTAACTTTGTGCAAGCTTTATTTACGGGGATTAGACTTTGGAGGCTTAGCTATTACTGGTTTAAAAAAAAATCCACTATAATTTGGTAAAATTTAGTAAAAACATTTTGAAAATATCAACTGAAAAGTTACAGTCAATAAAAAAAACACTAATTCAATAATTGAGCCTCATCTTAGCCTTCTACATTTATTTTATTCCATCTGTATATTTTGGGTTATGGTTTGTTTACTTCTTTTATTGTACAAAAAAAGCTGCGTAATCAGTCACTGAACTGATTGCAAGAAAATTGAGCTGATAACCTTGTTATATATCATCTGTAGTTAGTATCTAATAAATTTATTAAAATTACTTTTTTTTTACATATATGAATAAAAGGAAAAGACAAAAACAACTGGAGTCTGCAGTGTGTGCTAGCAATCATTGCGGGTGGGTAAACTGACAACATGTAACTGCATATTAAGACAAATGTAGAATTTAGACAAAGTATTCCATCTCTTTTCAGATGTATACTTTTAAACCTCAGGAACTGTTTTCAGTAGATGTCATGCCTTTTAACTTGAAAAAAGATAAGCGCAAATAAGCTCCCAATTGTCTCCCCAATATGTAAACCACATCTCGGGCTGCTGTCTCTGTTTCGCCTTTGAAGTTTCCCTGAAATGTCATGTGTTGTGAAGACTGCTGTGCATAAGCAAGACAATTTGCTCACTCTCAGAATTCTTACCGGTTTCCACTGCTATTTGGTATCCAGCCTCTAGTCTCCGAGATGACCTTTCCAGCCTCTCTGTGTTATCGAGCAGATGTGCCCTCTGAAAAAGAAAAGGGGAGAGAGAGAAAAAAAAAAAATCAGGCAGCAGTCTACAATGTTCTCCCCCCTTTTTAATTGTGCTTTCGTATTCCAAAACATAAAAATATCTACGTATATTTTATGGAAGAGCCGGTTACAAGGACCACTGCAAGGGGCAGGTTCAATGATCAATCATAATTATGTGTACCAATCATTTTTGTTTTGAAACATGGAATATGTGCTTCACTCTTATTACATGAACTCACAAAACAGAATGCGACTGTCATATGGGAAACCTGTCTGAACAGCATTTCCAAAATAGATTTCCCTGTGACACACGTATGCAAGCACCCATGATTTCTATTCAACTACAGTTTGATGAAATCACTTCAAATGCAAGTGGTAGTTTTTAACATAAACGTAATTTTCAGCAGAGGATATATTTTCTTTATGTGTACTACTCAAGTGAGGTGATAAAAAAACCGAGCTATTCATACAGAATACTGAACAGCATGAATATTCTTCAGACTGTTTGATGTAAAAAGATGTAGAAACAAAACACTAGTTTCTTGATTTACATCTCTTATGCCTAAATATATATGTGAATATATAATACACACACATACAGGTATAAGATATTTTTCCCAGAAGTCATTTGCCCATTTATGAGATAACAATAAATTCTAGTAAAAATGCATCTTCCAATACATTTTCACCTGGGGAGTCTGCAATAGTGAAAACTATTTTCATTAGTTTATTCTCCATCCAAAATGCCAACATTTCAACACGTAAGCTGATTTCCTTTGAAAATTTGATCCTAGACTACCTCTAATCAAGTCATCAAAAAATATAAGGCCTCCCCCCAAGTAAAGTAATCACACACACCCTTCCGAGCACCCCTTTACCCAAAACCAACATTTTGGATATTTGTCAAAAAATATTTCCTACAACTTTGCCTTGTTGACAGATGTCATTTTAAAACTGAAGAAATGCTTTCTAATAATAATAAAAAAAGGAGGTGCCATACATATTATCTGAGTGGCTGTCTACCGAAACGATCTACCTTGCTCTAATGAGCCCCTATGGATCTTGGGAGATGCAAGCTGTATTGACATGCACACTTAAGCTAATACACCTAGACCAGTGCCTCCAAGCTCTAGCAGCCAGGGATGCTGACAGAATATCTCGCTTCTATCTTCAAAGAAAGGAAGTGATTAGTATGTTATCATTACCATTCAAAACGTGATTTCCCTATTCCCTCCCGGCATAGGTGACACATCTCTGAGATGCGGCCAGACGATCGAGGCAGCTAAAGCCACATCAAAGCTTGCCTTGAATTTTTTTCTTTTTTTTTTCCTCTCTTTTTCTTTTTTTGGAAATCATTAAAACAATGCATTTAGATCAGCACAGATAGGACCCAATGTGAAGGTCAGGAAAGCTGCAATAACAGTCTATAATAATTAATAGAGTTGTCTAATACACAGTGGATAGGTTAAGAGTAAATTGCAAAAAAGCCTTTTGCATTCATGGGGGGCAGGCCACCAAGAAAAAAAATAATCAGCACAAGCACTTAATAAAATTTAAAACCATAAGTTACAGTGCTGTAATTGAAATCATGACAGCAACTAAAGTGGTGCATGTTCTCAGTACTCATGGTCAATCTAGATAATTAGTGTTAATTTTGCTTAATTCTTTTTAAAAGGCACCTTTTCATAACATCTGCTGGTTCCTTTCCATTGCCCATTAGAAAAAAAAAAAAAAAAGCATAAACCCGCAGTGCCTTTCTCCAAATACTGTCCCCCCCCAAATGATATTAAAGAACAACTAGTGTTAAATATTTTAAACTTTGTAAAAAATACCATAAACGTAACAGTATTACATAGATATCTCTCAGGAAGGAAAAGTAGAAGAGAAGGGGAGGGGGTGGGATGTAAAGAAGGAATTTAGAAGATAAGAATCCTAAAAGTCAGAGAGGAGACACTTTAAAAAAATCCACCACCATAGGCTGGGAGTGAGCACAAGGAGTAGAATATTATAATTACAGAACAGATGTATAGTGCTGGAGTTGTATACTGGAAATGAAAAGACTATCCTGCCATGTTAAGGGAAAGGGGGGGAATAATGACATTTCACATTACAATATGGAAGAGCTACTCAACAGAAAGAATTAGCATTTAACTGTATATTTTTATGTACTATAAGCCACATTTAATCTAAAAAGTAAATTACAAGCCCACAGTTCAGTTCAGTCCTACTGCAAGCAATTAGAATAACTAAAGCCCTGTGAACTCGGTGCCGGTGCTAACATTAACTCAGAGCTGTTTCTTACTTGATTTCAGAACCTTTCCACCCAAGCTATTCTATTATGAAAATGAAACCTAATTTTTATTGTAAAGGGTGGTGTTATTTACACTGTTTGGATTTGGAGGCACCCTGTCCTTTGGTCATGAAATCAGCGCCCTACAGCAGCAGCTGATGCTTTCAACTGCTTCCCAGCCCTCCCCAAACTCCTTCTCCCACAGTATCCCCTGCTCTCCGTGAGGTGGGTAGCGAGGTGATTCAGTGCGGCTTGCAGCTGCTTCAGAACAGCTTCTATCTGGAGTTATATAAGGAAGTTTTGCAAAGTGACATGCTATCACTAGAGATTTAGTCATTCCATGTGGGCTGGATTCAAACTGAGATCTCAGGAGCTCAAAAGACAGAGCGACACAGCCTCCATGGAAGCCTGTGTACGGCAAGTGGGCTAGAATAGAGCCCTGTAATGAGAGGAAGCACAGGTTTTATTAACAAACACTATGGCAAACCACAATTTCTTTTAAGATCAGTTCATACCTCCTTAGGAGAACTATAATTGGGGATGCCTTGATGTTCCACTATGTGATGAGTTAGGAATTATGCCTGAGTCACTGTACTAGCCTTCATTTAAACTTTAATGTGCATTTTGCATTGGATATAAAAACACCATTGCAATTACAACCTATCCAACACATAGGAGGTACCTAAGTGCAGAGAACAGAATGCTAACAATTGTTTTTTAAGATGTTTCTCTCTCTATCGGTACAATTTGAGTCCAGACAAAATAATAAATCCCTTTAGTTCTACTTGCTGCTGCTTTCACCATATGCAGAGAGTTAAAAGTAACTTACAAGACTAGCAAGGAAAAGCAAAAAAGAAAATTACCAGGAGCAACGTCAAAATTTTTTAGGTGGCTAACAAAGAGGGTTTATAAGCTCCAAAAGGTATGACTGAGTTTAGTATAGCTCCCAAGTTGCAGCCCTTTGCAATAACATCCTGAATTTTATTTTTCTTCATAGCTGTTTCAAAAAGAAGAGCAGTTAAGTAGCAGCTTTGTTCTTCATATCTGATTAAATTTTCAGAGTAAAATTACAAATTAGGAGTCCTTATGTTTATAAAACTATAATCTTTGTTTGCAAGCAAAAATGATCCTACTACATTCTTTCATAAAATCACAGGAGCAGACGTGCAGGTGTTGTTAAAGGGATGAGCAAATGAACCTTGTTCTATAAAATCTCAGAAATCAGGCTATACAAACCCATGCAACAATATTATCATCTGTTTAAATACTGGGACTACTGGGGAGGGGAGCTCAGCAGTTGTGGGAGGGATTTCATGTGGTTACATGTTTATTTTGTTTAATTTTTTTTTGTTAACTGTTTTACTCTGTAGCTTTAACATATTAATAACATATCCACAAGAAAAGGGAAAAATAAAGCATTCAGGGAACCAGTGAAAGAATCTTTATATCGCAAATATCTTCCTGTTTTTAAGAATTCTCTGTAATTGTCCTTAATCTGGTTACTTTACAATTCTTTGTCATCACCATTTCTAAATCTTACAAATCCTTTCCTGCAGAGCTCAGTATTCATTACTGATATGTCTGGGCACACGTTTCAAAAAGAAGATACCAGACAAATATGTGATGTTAAAATACTCATGCTTCTAAATATATTTATTCAAATACTTCATTGGTTCAAACTCTCTGTGCGAAACCCTTCAGAAATCTGACCTATAAGTAATCTTGACTTTACTGAGACTTCCTTTTTGGCAGCTATCGGGAAATAATAAAAAAAAAAAAAAACAGCAGTTCAGATACTTACTGCTGTAGCAAAGCAGGTAACAGAGGAGATTAATTTCAGAAAATATACTGAAACATTTGAGGAACTGACCATTAAAACAGGCTTCTCTCTCTAAATATTTATGAGTCATTTTATAACTGGAAGAAAGGTGTTCTGGAATACTGATCTCTAGTGTTACACCTACAGATCTACAGCACTCACAAATAAATAATAAATATTGATATGTGTGCGTACGTCTACCTGTACTGTATTTTCAGTGGGTATACAATATCCAATATAATACATAAGCTACTTGAACACCTCACACCAACCTCAAAACATTCTGAAATAGTGTGTAATTTTTATAGTGTTTCAGCACAGGTTTTTACCAAAGCAATGCTTTCACTTTCAATATCAGTGTATAAACGTATTTACCCTATCAAAGATTTTGTGATGCAAACATGATTATTACTGTACCTGATTTGATCATGGTATTCTAGCAGAGATCAAATAATAGGTTGGGGGTTTTTTTCCCTTCTTTTTCTAGTGCCTTTAAAAAAAATTTCCACTATCAAAGAATGTTAATTTCTAAGGTTTGATGTAGAGATTCCTATGTAAGTATATAATTATTAGGGAAGGAGAGGCACAACGGTGAATATTTTAAAGCAATGTAATCAATATTTTTTCTTTGTGTATATTTCCCTGCAACAATGAACAAAAAGATCTACTTCAGATTTAGAAACTCAGCTTTAAAGGGAAAGCTAGACAACAAAAAGCAAGAAAGTACTCACCTCTTCACGTAATTTTATCAACTGCAACATGAACGCACAAAAAAGATAAAAAGGAAAGAAATGGCAGGAAAGAAAGATCAGTTGTGTGACAGGATACAGAATTAACATTGACAATTTATCTGTTTACATGTTTAGCATTTAAAAATCACAGACAAACACATTAAAAGAACCTAAACATAGACTACATGCAGAGTTTTTTGAACGAATAAAGATCACTTTCTCACACTGTCACATTAAACAAAGAGAATAGTGTGAAATTCTCTTTTAAACCACATCTAAGACACCATCATGAAATAAAGGGGAATGACTTCATAGAAGTCTATATTATAAAGAAAAAAACAAGTTTACTATTCCTCTCTTCGAAGATTGTACAGCTGAGGTGGTTTTGTATATACAAGTTTTCAGAATGTTTTCTGTATATTTTAGTTGTGACAACTGATTTCTTATTTTACTAGCAGATCTAACTTATTAATAGATGACTGAATCTTTATAGCATGCAACCAGTATTTCAATTTTTATATACTTGAGTTCTACTGTAACTATATTATCTAATTTTATTATTGAACTTCACAGAGAGGGTTCTTTCCAGTTAAAAAAAAATGAAGCAGCTTAGTTAAATAGCTCAGAATTATGATTTATTGCATAGCATATTTAAAAATAGACAAAGAAATAGGGAACAACATGAAACATATTTCCCTCAGAAAAGACCCACTGCAGTTTTTTAATCCTACACCACTACACAGCGTGTGTATAAATACACACATAGTGTGTATGTGTACTTATATAGTATATACATTTATATTTACCAATTTATGCTTGTAAATCAACACAATCTAAGACTATTAAACTCTGGCAGGTTTACTATAAAACTAAATAAAAGCCCAGCCTGATTATCAAGCTACGTTGTAATATGCTCTCCTCTTGGAGAGATAGATAAATTATTTGTACTGGAACAAAACGTATAATTACTCACAACAAATGTCTGCGTAAGAGTGGTTCTTTATAAAAAATTACAGTTCTCTCACCGATTCCAGTTGAATTCAAAATTACAACAGCTACATCATTATCTCAGTTTATGCTGATGGTTCACCTACAGTTTCATAACAATCATTTTCAACACGTGTAAGCTGAAAATCTTTACTACTAATAAAGTCTCACCAGCATGAAGGAAACAAAAGAACCTCCATTATTCTCTACTGTTTCATATGGCTCGTCTAAAACTGAACATACACCTCACCCCGTTACCAAAACGGACAATGAGGCTCTAACAAGATGTAATTAGGAGGGCTACTACCACACGGACTTAAACTGAAATGGCTCTTCAGTACGTAGCTAAAGGAACTTTGCTAGAATTTGGTATAAAGAAAACTGTATTGTCCACCAAACCGGTGCTTAAATTCAAGTGCCTGGCCTATCATAAATTGGTCTCTTTCTCCCAATCTTCCCCCCCTTCTTTCCCCAAAAGGCAAACATTAAGGCTCTTTAGAAAGAGACGATCTGGGAGTTGATCACATAGATATCTTTTCTTTCTGAGGCCACCATTCTTCAGTTGACTATGATACTTAAAGGGCCAAAGTTTAAAACTACTCTCCCGCAATAGAGTCTGCTTGGGCATGCCACCCTGCTATAATCAATGAGAGTTTTAAAATGCTGCACATTTGTTTTTTCAATAGGTCCCAAACAAAAATGTTCTATCTTGTTTGTGCTGCATGGCTGAATTTAAGCTCTGCATGGGATTTGCAGCTAAGCTAAGTAATGGGAGAGGTGGGTTTTTTTTTTAACATTGACTGAAAGATATTCATTCAAATTAACAAAAGATGTATTTTTCCCCCATTTAACAATGCTCTTGATGAAAATGTGTTATCTTTACTTTTCTATTTTGAAATATTATTTTTATTATGCGCACTGCTCAACTGTAAACAGCATTAAGTCGTGTGCAGCCACCATTTTAGGTTATGATAATCAGCATATTTTTGAAACAAAGATTTTATTTTTTTTTTATTGCAACACAGAATTAGATACAAGAGGTAATCTGTTCCTTTGTAGGCTAAAAAAAAAAAAATCTGGTTTACGCTGGTTTGAACCAGTGGAATCTCTTGTGGATAAGCCTTCTGCTGTGACTAAAATCAAAACTGTGCCGCAGAGAGCAAGGGAGCGAGATGGGGTTTGTGTGTGTATGTGTGTGTGTGTGTGCGTGCGCGTGTGTGTCTGTGAGGCACATCACGTGACATGGAAAACTACTGAATTTTTTTTAAAAAGCTGATAACGCTACCGCCGTCTCTGTCCGCATATAGATAACGAATAAACGCTGAACTCTATTAAACGCCCTTTACACATTATCGTGGGTCGAACACACAATTTTCTGAACTTATGATGACAGTCTATTTATTTTGCTATAAACCCTCGGCATGTAACGAACAGATTTGTGTCTGGTAATGATCTGCTCTGCCAGGGCTATATGAAATGATACCGACCTTCTTTAGATCTTGGGGAATTAAATTGACCAACTTCACCCCCTGGTCTGTAGCTGAAGTTTGACACACTTTATGCACAGCAAGCCCAAATCTAATATTATCACAACTTTGTAGGCAGAAATTAAGTAGCCACAAAATATTTGTTCACCACACATCACATGTGCAATGTATGTGTATACAGACATGCAGTTTAACCTAATGCAAATTTATTTCTACTTATTAATGAACATAGTTGTAAAAGAGAAAGGAGTACTATTATATTTCAAGAAAGTTGGTAAATACTGTACCTGACATTATTTTGGTCAAGAAGAACTTCTGATTTTTCTAAAAAACATACAAACTGCCACATAAACCAGTTCTATTATTATTAAAGTGAAGCCACAACTTTAAGTAGCGTATCATTGCACTGAAAAACTCAAAACTTTCACGGGATTTGATAAACGTTGGTGGCCAGAATGACTAGACTTGAAAGCAACAGAGCCTGTTTAAGACCACTGCTGGAAAACAAATAACAACCAAATGCACACAGTAGGTTTTTGGTTTTAGGATTGTGAGGTGAGGTTTTTTTTGATTCAAGAAGGGACATCTGTTTCTCAGCCTCTATAAGTGCCTCATCTGACTACATTCACATGATTCAAATTAAGAAGAAATTAATGTATACTAAGCAATGTCTTTACTAACTTGAGAGCACTGTTTTTATTTCAAAAGAAAACTTTGAATAGCAGATTTATATGATTCTTACAACTTCTTACAAGAAGTTTCTATATGCTTTATCTGGTAAATCTTGGTATAATCATTATAAGGCATCTGTATTCCAATTTGTTGTCACCTAAACATGATGACTGCTACTTATGGGAGACATTTGGGAAAAACGAAGAAATCGAAAGATAAATCATCATTTTCTAATTCTTCAGTCTGTTTCCTGTACTTCAATCTTTCTTCTTAGGAGAACAACTGGAAACTCATGACTAAGACCATACTCATTACAACTTATAACTTGGCTGTGGTTTGATGTAATTGTACCTTTGAAACTCAACTTAAAAACCAGAAGTTGAATAAAGAAAAGATCCAATTTTTTTTTTTTTTCCAATAGTGTCCCATTTATTTCTAGATACCTAATAAGGTCATACCAGCCAGTATACATTCAGTTCCTATTGCCTTCTTACTCCACCAAAAACATTATGCAAATGTTTATCATGATGACAAATACCATACCTAAAATGTGCAGCTCATATATTATTTCACTTGGATAACACCCCAGTCTAACCAGATACTCAGCATTTCTACTAGCAGATTTTACCAATATTTGTGGATTAGTACAGGAGAAATTCTGAGCTGGCAACTTTTTTCAACAACTCATGTCAGAAGAGGAATCATTCCTCTCCTCTCCCCTTTCCACACTATGGTGACTGAACTGGGGAAGCCAAACCCACCATTTTTCAGCTTAACCTAATCCAATTTGACAAGTAGAAGTCCTACACTATTAAGGTGAGGGTCAGTCCATCTATCTATATTTATCTCCATCAGACAAAATGAAAGCAAAAATTTGAAACACCTTCAAGTATTTTATATGGCTGTAAGTTATACCTGCGCCGCCTTTCATCATCCAGTCCAAGTTTTCTATTGATATAATAATCTACAGGAGTGAAAGCGTATTAGACCTGATGTGACTGATTGAAATACATCAATATAACATGTTCAGTATATGGTAAGTACCCAAACCCTACACTTGATTTGGATATTTGCACATTCTGGTAAGTTCAACATCAGATTGAATTTTTTGCACTAGCTGCTCGTACCCATAACTACATGCATATATGATAAGTACAAATATAAATAAGATATTTCATAAGAAAAATAGATTGTGAGATTGATTATTGGACAAATATTGTATAAGTAATATTTTTTTAAAAATACTGCCATTCACATACTTAAAAGAAGTTAGGTAATGCCTTTATTGTGATATTTCTTAACATTTTTCTAGGAAGAAAAGAAAGAAGTTTAGAACTTTCAAAGGTAGAGGGCTAACAATTTCAAGTCAGGTTACAGAAAAGGATTTTTATTACCTAAAAGACTACATAAAACTCCTTCACCAGCCAAAATTTTCTTCCATTTAAGAAGTGGTCATTTGGAAGGAAAAACTTATGTTGACAAATGGCTAAAGGTACCATTTGGTTACTTGAGATGAGACTATACTTATTCCATCAAGTTTAGAAAAAAACATCATAACTTGGAAAAAGTCCACATGTGAACCAGTTATTTAACCATTCCTTAAAAAGTGAAAGTAAAATATTTTATCTCATCGCTACACATAAAATATTCTGTTATAAGTAAAGCTTCTTATCACAATTGCCCTTTTATGTCTAAATTTACACAATTTTTACTTGAAATGTAAAAATAGCAGCACCTTAGAAGAAATAAAATAAGAACCTTACCACTTTCACAGGACTGAGTTTACGATCATGACATGCAGACTGTGAAACTCTTTTCCCTAAAATCATGCTTTCCATCAATTCATTATTCAGGGATAAAAACCCCTCTTTATTTTATTCAAATTTTGGAATCTCCCTTTGCTATAATATATAAATATGAAGATTAATATCTTGTAAATGTAAATCTTCACATGCATATTATAACTGCTATACACTACAGTCTTATGCCTACAGATAAATTGCATCCCATATATAATTTCATTAATGTATGTATTAAAGTCTATTACTGAGTTTAGAACTTACACAGCACATTTAAAATACCGTATAAGGTTAAGGCTTAAGGGGACTATGTTTTAAAATGCATTGTACTGGGACAAGTCTCCAAGTCTTTCTTTTCTTCTATCCTTAGTGGAACTGAGCTTATATTGAGGGTAGAAGATGCTAAAATTTTCAGAACATGGTTCTGATCTGTTTCCTTATTTAATATTGCATTTATCATGTAAACATTTAAACAATTTTCACTTTCACTACCAAAATAATTTAAATTCTATCTGGTCAGAAAAGAAATTCTGATATTGAAGAAAACTTTCAACTAACTTCTAACACAAAATGCACAACTCTGATTACAACTGACATGATTATCAAAAAGAAAAGAAACATTCTGCTTTCAGACAGAGCTTGTCAAACAAGTTTCAGCACCAAAAGAAATATTAACAGGTGGGTCAAAGTCCCCTGAATATAATGTTGCCTTTACAATTTTCAGTAGTCTAGAAGGATCCTCACTGTAGTGTCCAGAACAATACGGGTACCAGATTTTAAAAAAGCCTGAGGATTATCAAGCTTTCCTCCATTAAAAGAGATGGACAGCAGTCTGCATTCTAGTACAACATGCATTATGAAAACTTACTCTTATTAGTACAACTTGTGGTTTTGGTACAAGGAGAGAAAATCTGTTTAGAGAAGGAATCACACAAGGAAACTGAGTGGGGTACTGCCTAATTCTGAGAGTGCACTTTCATTTGTTTTGCCTGCCAGTGTTGATTTAATTATACTGCATTATTATCAAAGCTGCATTATGTACTTTTTTTATTCTTTTTACATGTGTTTGAGGTGAAGACCTTGGCTTTGTCGGCAAACAGCGCGTTTCAAGTTATTTCTTAAGTACTAAATAATAAAGAAAAGAGAAGAAAAGATTTTTTTTTAAGATAGCAGACAGTGATCACAAGTTAAAGGGTTAAATGTAAGATCTCCAAGAAACATTTTGAAGTTGATTAAGACCCCAGCTTTGCATTAAACAGTATCACTTCCACATGAGTTGTTGCTAAAGCTGTTAAGGAGCAGCTTGAGAAGCCCAGTGTGCCAGTGACCTCCTTCACCCTCCAGCCACCCACTAGGGCTTCTTGATTAGCATCCTACCTGGTTCTCTGAGGAATTCCCGTCATCCCCTAGGAGCTCATTCCGCACCTCATCACTGTAGGCGATTCGTGACCTTTTCTGTAAAACAAAAAGAAAAAAGGGTTAGGAAGTAAAGCTCCAAAGCCATTGGTATCAAGGCTGATCATCTTAAACCTCGAGAGCCCCCTAATGGATACCTATTTGATAAAAAAAAAATAAACCTGGAAGTAAAAGTTACTAAAAAGTTCTTCAACTGCTGTATTTTGACAAATCTGCATGGCAAATCCTAAGCATTTCTAAGACAGTCACATCCTCAACATTTCAGCAATGAAAGCAGCTTCAGTGAAGCTCAAGATATCGAGTTGTGATAATCGGGTAACTGGGAGAGGCAATATACAATAATGCCAGAAGCACTGAAGAAATACATGTGAAGGAACCAAATGCATTTTTCTGAAGAACACTTGCTAGCTGCACGCAGAACTCGGCATAATACTGCAGTGATGCCATTAAATAGGAAAGGAAGACTGAGCTTCTCCCATATTAAAAAAAAAACAAACAAACAAACAAACCTGAACAACAAACATTTGACAAAATTGGTTAAACTTAAAGATGTAGAAAATTAACAGGTGTTTTCTACACTGCTATGGCTATGAAGGCCTACTGGGAAAGGACCAGAAATCAAAGGGCAAAAGAAGGGAGAGAAAACGACAGATCAAGGAAACATTGGTTTACAGCAGGTCATGGAAACAGCACAAAACTGAGACAGATGTTCAGTAGATCGTTATGACAGACAGTTGTTATTCACAGTTTATGAGCACCAGATTTGCTCATGAACTGATCATCATATTGATTCTAAACTAGATCAAGTGCCAAGCAATGGAAAGCAAATGTCTGAAGATTACCAAGGTAGCACAGCTTCAATGGAACGGGGAAGACCATAAAGATAACATCTGCCCAGCTCTTAATTTCTCCATTGGCTAAATAAGAGGCCCTTAGTCAGTTAATATTCCTACACTAGTCATTAAAAAAAGAGAAAGGATTTTTAACGTATTGACTAAAATCTTTCTACATTTGAGTGCAGTTATGATTAGTTTTGCAGTTCTTCAGAGGAAGAAACCCAAAAATAGTAAGAACTAAGCTGCAGAACGTTCCTTTATTCCTGGGAGCTTCTCTCACACTCTGCTGTGGTAATTGTCACCAGTAGGGACTCAGCAAAAATAAATCCCTCCTCAAACCTTCCCTCATTGAGCAATCATGCCAAGAAACACGCTTGGGACTGGGGCATGGGGAACAACCCATTAGAAATTATACTGAGCACAGGGGAATTCATTACCTTTGTGACACTGAAGTTTGGAAGTGGGTCACCTCTTATGCTAGGAACCTAGCGGTGGAGTAAGCCTTGTATTGGTCATCTCAGAGCAACACATTTTAGCCTTTTATCCTGTGTAGTTCACCCTTTATTACCATAATCATCTAACCAATTTGTGCTTCAGTTGCTAGTGTTCAGATCTAGATCATATACTAAAGCTACAGATGTACGTAGCAAGGACAAAGCATACCATGGACCTACTACAAGAACTGAATTGTGCCAAATCTTTTGGAGATCTCAGCTGTCACAGTTTCATACTAACCAAGCTAAAGTAGTCTACAGCATTAAAGGAAATGAGAACCTTTAAACAGGCTGTGGTATCAGAGCTGCCTGTTTAAATTATTCATTTCATCACTATGGGGGACTAAAACACTCCACAGTATGCAAGAATATCATATGGAGATAGGTTTTGTTTTTCTCTTTTTTCACCAAAAAGCCAACAAATTGGCATAGATTGCTCAATTATATTATTTTCCTATTTTTATTTGCTACACATCAAACAAGGGAGGAAATTACAAAAATATACCAATAAATATCTAATCTTATTTTCTGATTAAGATTCAGTCTTCCCATTTGAGGTCTAGTAGTTCAACTGTACAGTCTCTCCCAATTTCACAAAATTACTCAGCCCCATTGATTCTGTTAGTTTTGAATGTATTTATCATTATTAGACTGAGACAAGGAGCATGATGCTTCGTGAGCTTGTTCTCCAGTGAACAAGTTGCCTAATTATATGTAGAGACTGAGATGGTCCTTGGTTACCCATCATTTACTTGAAGGATTTAACTGGCTGATATCCTCATTCATAAGAGTCTGCATTGAAGAAAGGAAAAAGAATATTCTTCACGGAAAAGAAATAAATGTTAATAGCAATACAGTTCTTAGAGACCCTTTACAATCCTTTATATCATCACCACTGACCTTAATAAATATACTTGTATCATTGTTCTTTTATTGCAATAATCTGTCATGATCTGAAAATCAGCAATTACATTAAAAGAAATAACCCTTTGACTACAATTAGGTATAACTCTTTGCCATAATCAATAAATAATTTGATACTACTTTTGATCACAGTTTCACCACCAAATGAATCAATAATATAAAAGGAAAGGCCTTTGAACTAAAGCGTTCATTTGTTCTTTCAGGATTTGTCCAAAATATCAATACATTGAATTACTATTCTTATTTTTATTAAAGTAACATTGGCTAACACTTTTAAATGTGGCTATCAAAATTAGTTCAGTTTGTCCAAACTCAATACTTAAACAATTTTTAGATTTTTTTTTTTTCGTTCATAACTATTAGCTGTTTATAAATATGTACTTTAGCCAAATGCAAGAATGATAGTTTGAGCTGGAAATGTCACATACTCCGCTACAGTTTGAAGGAAACCAATTCATAATGCATTTTATAAATAGTTAATGACTTCTATACATAAGCTAACCAGGCAAATCAAAAAATTGTCAACATTTTTAGTCTTAGTTGTCAGTTACCACAGTCTACTGGTACTTTATATGTATGTTTCTAGAAAAGACAGAAGCTTTACAGAGTTTGTAAACCAAGGCATTTCTGGGCAGCTCAATATAGGTTTAAGAGGTTCTGTGCGCAAATTTTTGTCTGTAAAGGTGTGTCATATACAGAAGTTTTCCTTGTATTTTATATTTTCTTGTATACACATAGACAAAAAGTCTAAGCACACAAATGTTTTTAACTCAGTGTACATGTTTGCATTCAAATGTAGCATGCATATGAACACAGAACGACACAAAAGGGTTAAGCTACTTTCTACAAGAACTTCAAGACAGAGAAAGTTTCAGGGGTTGTTTTAAATGTACTACAGTACTCAGACCTTCTGACAAGGAAGAATTTCTGATTCCAGGCAGATCTCTCCTGGTTTATGAACAGGATTTTTGCATACTGATTGGGTGATTTCCTTAAAGCCCTGTTCAAACAGATACACTTGCTCAGTTCTGTCTGGCAATTTGGCTTTAAACAATCTGTCTACTTGACCCAAGCCTTAACATTTCCCAATAGAACTGAATGTGTTCATGGGCAAGCCCAGCTAAATTAGAATTGAAATGAATTAACTCAGCTTAAACTAATTAAGATCTGTGATCTGCAGTACCACCCCCCTGTACAATTCTACATGTGAAGTAGGGTACATGTAACCAGACTGTAAGAATTCTGCTATACTACTAATCTGAGCATACCAATGAAGTTCGTCTATTACTAAAGCATATGAGAAGTTAATTTCCATGGCCTGCACATGGCAAAGCAATTGCTTAAATTGCCTCACCTGGGAATTTAATACAATGTTATCATCAGACCAGCCACACTGTAAATAGATTTATAATGCTTTCCATGTGCTAGGCTAGGTTGCATATGAATTAAGTAATGATCTGGTATTACAATACAATCAGCTAGTTCCCACACCTGGCAGACAGGATATTTTGCTAAATTACTACCTATACAGATACATCACAACATAAAAACAGAAAAGGCAGTGGGAAGAGAAACAATCTACATGGTGTATGACTGATTTTTACATGGTAACCAAATAAGATGTAGATAGAAAGAGGTATCCAAAATAATCTGTTTCCAACATCTGCACAACAGAACACATACTTATTCATTTCTATTCAATTTTGGACTAATTTTCCACATTCTATACTTTAATTACTCATCCACACTCTGAAATGTTCCCATTAGTGAAGGCCAGAAGTAGCCAAAGCCCCCCCACTCCAACGCACTTTCAGCAATCAGCCAAATAATTGATATAAAGTATCACACATTTTCATACCTGAACTAAAGAATAGCTCTCCCCCTCCTAAATGCTAAGCAGCCCCCTGAACAGATAAGCAAACCTAGGTGTATTTCAGACAAAAGGCCCAGCAAATCCTTTTGTCTCAAACTCTCCATTTTTCAGGCTCAATGTTTTAAGAACAGATTAAACAGATTTTTTTTGTGAAATATGTGTAAACAAACAAAAGGGCTTATTTATCCACAAACATCTGTTTTCATACAAAATCCATTAGGATTTCCTAGTATATATAAATGGTTTAAAAAAAAAAATCTTCAGGCATCTGTTTCAGAGTTTGGCCCTTTTCTAGATGTAAATACTCAAGATTAGCATAACCAGAAATAATTTGTAGGAATAAATTAGATTTTATTTTGTGTTCTTGGAGAGCAGTCAGTTTTGCCATTGCTCTTGCTAAAAGCAAGGTGAAAAAAGTGGCCTGATCCTCAAATGGACTACAAAATACTGCAGAATGTATACTTTCATCTCTGTCTTTCAGAATAGATACCTAAGTATTCTTTTTGCAGAGCAGAAATGGAAAAGATACATTTTAACAAATTCAGAAGAAAAATACGTGACCCTACTTAACAATCTTAAAGCTTATATTTAAACAGAAATACAAAAACACTTATTCAGGAAATAAAATAATTGAAATTGCTTAAGAAATGGTGTTCAAACTTCAGTTTTCAAAACTTCTACATTTCTCTGTAACAGTGAACCAGGAACAATAGACTAGACACTTCAGACTGCCATTTGAAAGGGGTTTTCCTGTTCCTAAGTAGCTTAGTTTTTATCGATTGTGTGTAAGAAGCAGGAAATGATTACATAGTGCTAAGATACAACCTGATGCAATGCTGGACTTTCAAGCATTTCCTTATGAAAATAAAAACCTAAAGCTGATACTTTTCTATTCAAAGGGAAATAAAAACT